GGGGGCATGTGGGGCCACTGCGTGGGCAGGTTCCGCGCAGCCGAGCAACCCCAATCAGTTCGAAGCAATGCCCGCGCGAACTGCTGTAATAATCTAGCGGCAGCGGTCGAGGGCAACTATCCAGAGTCGGTCGCCGCGCGAGTTGCTGATGTCATGGAAGTGTTGAAGCCCGTCGTGGGGATATGGTCAGATGGTTCTTTGGAAACCGGGCGCCGTTGGCGTCTACCGGGGGCTCGACGAGGGGATGTTTTGGATGCGATCGCGGGCTTCGATGGTCATGGCAAAAGGTTGCCAGGCGTTCCAAGGGTCTGCAGGGTGTTGCAGGGTGCGATGGTCATGACAGAAGCTTGCCAGGCGTTCCAAGAGTCTGCAGGGCCTTACAGGGTCGCTGCAGGCTCGTTGTTCGGTTTTCAGGGTATTGCCTGTTTTTTCTACCCTGGATCGTCTTGGTGATGTCGTTTTGCTGTCCCGGGGCGCACTCGTTGTCTTGTTTCTTTGGGTGAGCGGGCTCGAGGCTTTTCGGGGCCATCCCCGCGCGAGTCTGGGGGCATGTGGGGCCGTTCACGGTGCAAATCTTACGCGTCTGGAGGCCCCGAATGGGGTTGGCGGGTGCAGGTTGCGCCACATGTGTCCAGACACGCGACAAGGCAGTGATCCGTGGCGGTGGTGTTGGTGATCCGTGGTGGTGGTGATGGTGATGGCGGTGGTCATGGTGCGGGTGATGGCGGTGGTGATGCTGGTGGTCATGTTGTTGATGATGAGACGCGGAGATGGTGACATGGTACCAAACAGGAGAAAGCGGAGGAGGAGGAAGAGGGGGGGGATGGGGGAGAGGCGGAGGAGGGCCCTCGGAGGAGGATGAGAAGGAGGAGTGACGATTGGGGGAACATGCCTATCAACGCCCGCGCCCATAGACGGCATGCGGCGGTCCAAAAACTGGACGAGTCGTTGTCGAATGGGGCGCGGCGCATCCCGTCACTTTGCGCGGTGTGCAGGTAGGCGGCCACGCGGATGGCGAAGAAGATCTCGTGCATGGCCTGACGGGGTCGTCTTGCAGGTGGTTTGGGGGCCTTTTGGGGGCTACTTCCTAGTGGCTTCTTGGATGCCTCGGAGGTTTTCTGGGAGGTCCCGCAGGCCCTTTTGGGGTGTTTTTTTGGAGCAGGCTGGGAGCGTCTTGGAGCCAAAAGCTCGAACAGGTGCCTTGTGGACTCCGTGTTGGAGCCGTTCGGGGGCTTTCTTGGGCTGTCTTGGGGGCTTCGTGGGCTGTTGTTGGACCCTCGGCGGCCCTGCTTTGGGGCCTTTTTGGCCTTCTGAGAGCGATTTTGAAGGTTTCTGTGCCTGTCGTGGACGCTGCGATTGCCGAGTAGGCGGGCATGCGGAGTATTGCGTGGTTCTCAAAGGAAACGCGCCGATTTCTGTTCCTTGCGACCTTCTCGGGGCGCATCTTAGGGGCCTCTTTGGGGCGTCTTGGCAACTTCCGAGACCGCCTGGAGGCCATCGTGGGCGATTGGGGGCGCTACGTCGGCGGTTCGTGGTCTCGGGGGCTGTCCGGGGAGCGTTTTTTTTTTTGCGAGTTGTGGTATCTTCTTGACGAGTTCTGGAGCCTGTGACGCGTTCGGCCCTGGGCCCGGCCGGGCCCGGGGTTGGGTCGAAATGCGGGTTTGGGGTCTTGGGGGGGGGGATGGGGGGGAAGAATCTCACGTGCCTAGAGACCCGCACGGGGTCGGCGGACATGATCTTGCCGTGGCCTTTGCAGGGTCCAGATGCCAAGTACTGGAGGGTACTGCAGGGGTCTTCGATTCGATTTCATTTTCTGCTTCGACCCTGGAGCGGGAACCGCCCAGATGGTTCGGTTCCCTTCCGTTCGTCAACACCGCGGCGATACTCGAGACATGGCGAAACTGCTAGCGTAAAGGAACCTCCGCATTTCAAAGCACACGCTATGGTATTAGTAGGTGCTTGGGGATTCCTACTTCCAAGACCCGATTGGACGCTGGATTTTTTTTTGGCGTACTCAGATTCGACAAAGAGGTGGCTGATGAAGAGAAGCGCCCACGCTGGATCAATCACACGGACCCCATACGTCCGAATTTCCGTACGTCTTGGGAGTGTGGAGACGCATGTGCGGGCCTGGCCCGGTTGACTTGCATTCTTCGGGGTTATGACGGAAAAAACCACACGCTTGCGTTTCGTTCCCGAGGCCCCGCGGTTCGCGGTCGTCGTTGCGGTCCGCTTCTTCCGTAGCAGACGCCGCTGGACCGAGTGAAGGCGCATTGGGTCTACAACATCAGATTTCAGTCGTTTGTGTTCGAGGCTCCGGCGAGGCCCCCTGCGTGCAAATTTTCTGAGACAGATTTCCGAGGCGGGGATCTATGCATGACCACCGCCTGGAGGATCAATTTTCGGGGACTTCGGCAGGCGGTGGATATGGATATATACTGGCCCCTGGGGGCCCAAATATGTCCACGTTCACCGCCCGCTGGGGCACCAGGACGTCAGTTCCCAGGCAGTAGATATGGATAAATCCCCGCCTCGCAAGATTTCCCTTATAGCCATTTTGTCCGCAGCGATTTCGGTCCCGAGCGTCTCCAGCATCCCCTCGCGTGCCGCGCCCGGAGCGCAGGCGTTTTCAGTCGAGCGGCGACGCCGAGCCGCGCGCTCTGTAGCGCTTCTGGCGCCGCAGCAGCACTGCGCGCGCAGTCTGCGGGCACAGCATTGGGGCGCGAAGCGCCTGCCGCTGCGAGTTCAGGTAGCGGCGCAGGCAGGTCAATGGCATCGCGGCTGGGTGCTTGAATCCACAAGCGCGTGGGATGGTGTGTTTTGACGCGCGGGGCACCTGGCGCAGACAAGACGCATGGACATGTTCAACGGCCGCAGCGACGGACAGCATTTCAGACATCGGAGCCACGTATATGGATAAAGCCTGGTATGATATTCTAAAACGCTGGGGGGCTACAACCGTAATGTGCGCATCTATTAACAGACATCATTGCTGACGTTACCCCTGAGTTTAGACGCAAGGAATTTCCAGAGCGCAGGCGCTGCGCGACTCCTGGGGCAGAACGTGAGAAGGTAAAGGACAATGTCCTTGACGCATTGTCGTTCAGGATGCAAACAGCATTATGCGTTTGTTTCCCGTCGCCAGATGAGCCATGATGTTGCTGAGGGGTCTGATCCAAGTACCAAAGTCAAGTGCAGCAGCATGGACGGGATAAAAGCCCGGCCATATTTATAGCGGGAATACATGGCGCGTGTGCTGCCAGCGCCTCCGTGCAATTTGGCGGATCAGGCGTTGACTCGCCAGGACAAGGGCAACATCATAATTCGGAGCCGCAGCTTTATATCGACCCGCCCGAGCAATGAACGAGAGGAAGATATTTCCCGCTGTGTTCGCACGGACTTCGGGGATCTACGGACGCGCCATGAAGCAGCGTCGGTTCACACAAAGCCAGTTGACAGGATCGACAGGATGTTTTGTCTCTACGAGGCCAAGAGCAATGCAACAACCAGCTAGCTTTATTTTAGGTTCCCGCTAGACTCTGTCCAAGCGAAGCGACGGCATGTTTGCGTCCTGACAGCACGTGTTCGGTAGTGAAATCAAACCATCTGTAATGTACTGATTGTCGCCTGTAGGGGAAGACAGGTCCAAGGGGAGGCTGTTTTAGTTTTGTCTACAGCAGTTGGCCTGGGTTCAAGGCATTGGTAGCACGAAAAAGCTTCCGTTTTGCCCCATCACCCCGACTGATTCGTTCACCTTCTCCTCTTCCTCCTCTTTTTTTTTCTCCTCCTCCTCCTCCTCCTCCTCTTCGCGCCGATGCTTCGACGATTCAGCTCCACATCGCAGGGGGTGGCCAATCCCCTTCCTCCGTCCGCCCCGTCTCCCCGCCCTGGGGGGGGCAGCCTTCGGGCGCGGCGAGGGCCTTCGCTTTCGTTCCGGATGCCCGAGCTCTTCCTCTGAGATCCGACACCGCGGACAAACTGCAGCTCGACAGGAACTCTCCAGGCACTTCCCCTCCTCCTCCCCCGAGGAGGAGGAGGAGGAGGAGGAGGAGGAGGAGGAGGAGGAGGAGGAGGAGGAGGCGGAGGCGGAGGCGGAGGAGGAGATCTCCCTGCGGCACTCCTCCGGCCGAGCCGAGCCGCGGGGGCCCCAGGGCCCGCAGGCAAGGGTTTAGAACCGCCCGCGGCGGACGAGCATCTCAGCGCCAGGGCCCGGACATGCGACGACTCGATGCTTGGGCCTACGCCGCACCGCCGACCCCTTGGGGGGCTCCTGGTAGGTCTCTCGGGGGCCTCCTGGCAGCACTTTTGAGGCCTCTGGGGAGCCGTTCTGGGGCCTGTTGGGGCCTCTTTTGGACCTCTGGTGAGCCTCTTGCGGGCTTTTTGGGGGCCTCCTGGGGCCTCCTGGAGGCTTCTCGGAGACGAGGGCTCGGCAGGGCCCGGACATGCGACGGCTGGACTTTTCAAGTGCGAGCAGGTCGGAAGTCCCGACTCTTCCTGGGGGCTGGTGTTTGAGTTCTCCGGGTTTTCCGGCTTGGCGAGGGCCGGGGTTCGGGGGCGGAAAAGGGGGGTGATGACTAGGGGGGGTGAATATCATGGCGGGGGCCATGATAGTTCCCCAGATTTCATGACGCCTCTTCTTGTTTCGTTACGTCCCTGGCCCCCCCGCTGGGCCGCGTACATGCCGCGGGTCATGATTTGCACCCCCCCGTCTTGGACAAACTTGGACACCCCCCTCTTGGCCGCTCCCGAGGGGTAAGGAGGGGGGAGGGGTCGTCCGCGGAGGACTTGTGCGCACCGTGCCGCGTTGGCGACTCTTGAGGCGTCACCGATCCTCGACCCAGGAATGGTGCGGCGCAGAGGTTTGTCGGCCCTCAGGCCTCAGGGCTGAAAGACTATGCACCGTACCGCGTTGGAGCGGGCCCTGCAGGAAATCCACAGATGGTGCAGTGCCAGGGCTCCATTACCGTAGGTCGGATCGGGGCGGGGCGGCGCCATTGCAGGCGCCCGCGCTGGCGAGCTCGCCCGTGCGGGGCGCCCCTGCGAGCTGGGCGGGGGCCGCGAGGGGCGCTGGTCGAGTCAGGCGCCGGGCGCGCCGCTCCCGAGGCCGAGGAGTATCGGCTAGACGTAAGAGTGACCTTTCGCCGGAGTGACCTTTGGTGCGGGTCCAATGGGGTCCCCCGATCGCCGAGCGCGATGCGGTACGTCTTGCGCGCTTGTGTTGGGCCCCCCCGCGGCCCCCACAAGGCCGCGCACCAAAGGTCACTCTTACCCAGGGTCACTCTTGCGTGTAGCCGAGAGGAGGAGGCGAAGGAAGAGGAGCTGGAAAAGGTACCCATACCGCTAACCTTCCCTCGATTTCCTCTTTTGGGGCTTCTTGGGGGGCCTTCATCGCCACCGCTGGATTTGCTCAGAAATTGTGGTCAGAACGCACCCCGGGGGGAGGTACGGTGAGTAGCGGTATGGGTACCTCTTGGTCTCCCCAGAGGAGGAGGAGGAGGAGGAGGAGGAGGAGGAGGAGGAGGAGGAGGAGGAGGAGGAGCAGCAGGAGGAGGAGGAGGAGGAGGAAGAGGAGGAAGAGGAGGATCAGGACCACTGGAACACGAAGGCGTATTACAGGAGTTGCAATAAGCCCCCCGCCCAAGTTCCCTCTTCACGGGTTCCTGCACTATGTTCTCCATTGGGGGAAGTGGCCCATCAGAAGACAACCGTCTGAGAGTCCTCCATGAGTCCTCGATCGTACCACGACGCAGTCCCTGGGACCTCAACGCCGCGGATCTACATGACGTTTGCGTCTCGGCAATCCCAAGTCGTGTCAGAACACCGTTGCTGGGACTGCGGCCGTACGAATATTTGAAAACTGGTGCAAAACGGTGCGCGGCCCGAAGGCGAGAGCCTCTTTTGCCAAAGGAGCGGCCCTCCCTCCGTGAAGCTGTCGCAGATTCAGGACGAATGTGCGCGGCGCGGAGGCAAACACCGCATTTTAGTAAGCAACCCGTCCTCCATGCGTGAAATTGTTGCGCATGCGTTAAACAGATGCGCGCAGTGGCGAGAGCGTGAGCCACATTGTGAAAGCCACTCGCTCCCCACAGGGTGTATAACGAGTGTAGGCGGCGCTGAAGCAAGAGCCACGTTTAGAATTTCATGGCTCTCCATCCGTGAAGCTGTTGCAGACTTTCAGGACGAACGAGTGCGGCGCCAAAGCGAGAGACATGTTTAACAGCACCCACGCTCCGTCCGTGAGAATCTGCTGCCCACTTTTCAAGACGAAGGCGCGCGGTGCACCGGCGATGCTCCGCTTCGCGCTGAGAACGGGCCGCCCTCCGTCCGCGAAGCCGTTGCACACGTGACGTCTCAGGACATCACGCGTGGTGAGGGAGGCTCGGGCGAGGCGCCCCAGCCCGCCCTACCCGCACGCCCAGGGGTTCGAAACGGGGGGGGGGTATTCGCCAGGGAATGGCGTGGAGGAGGAGCACTGGCCACGCGAAGGAGGGGGTAGGGGGAGGGGGGAAGGCTTCTTAGAAGCACCCCTGCTTCTTAGAAGGCGCGGGCCTTCTTTGTAGGTGTAAGGCCGGCGCCTTCTAAGAAGCAGCCTTCTTCCAAGAAGCCTTCCCCCCTCCCCCTACCCCTTGTGCGCGCCGCCAAGAGCAGGAGGATTATCGGGGGCCGAGGTTCGAGGAGGGGGACGATCGAGGCGGAACAGCGGGAGAGGGGGAGAAGCATCTCGTTCGCTCACTCCCGCTGCATCCTCGCCGCGGAGCCCTCGCTCCGCATCCTCCCAGCGCTCTCTCCTCCGCTGCTGGGTGGTGCCGAGAGCTGCGGATGGCGCGCCGGTGGCTTCGCCAGAATCGCTCCGCCGCCGAGCGCAGGATTGCAAAAAACAACAACAAAACAACAAAACAAAACAAACAAAAAACCTTTGCACGAAGGATTGCAAAACAACAAAAAAAACGAACCTTTGAACGAAGGATTGTAAAAAAAACCCTCCGAGGCGCGGGTGGCCACGCGGCCGCTTCAGGCGCTCGCCGAGGTCCAGGGCCATGGCGGCCAGGACCTGTCGGGCCTGGCAACGGGCGCTCCTCGCGGCACCGTGCGGGCGGGCTCGCAGGCTGCGGCCGCGGGCGCGGAGGCGGCGGCGCCCGCGGCTGGTGCCGACGGAGCTCGGGAGCCTCCGCTCGTCCCGCCAGCGCCCGGCGGATGGGTCGGCGGTCGGGCCTCGGCTGCGGCGGGCGCGGGTGGCGGCGCGGAGACCGAGGATGCCTCGCTCTCAGTCTCCCGGCGTGCAGGTCCTGGCGTCGGAGCTGGGCCCGGAGGGGCCGCGGGCAGCGTCGGCGCGCAGGAGCACGCGCAAGTCGGCCGTCTTGGCGCGGCGCGGGGCTCGAGGATGCCCAAGGGCGGAGCGCAGGGGGCCGCCGAGGATGACGATGCCGTCCTCAAGGCGGCCTTTGCGGCGACCAGGGCGGAGCGCGTGGCGGCGGCGCCTTCCCCAGTGGCCAGCGGCACCTCCCCCCGACATGCCGACCGACAGCCTCAGCACCGCCGTCGCAGCGATCGCCGAGCACTCGCGCACGGTCGTGGCCAGTTGTGAGCGCGACTCGCGCGAGGCGGGGAGCACACGCTCTCCTGGTCGCACCCGCCCGGCTGCTGGAGCTTGGCGCGATGCTCGTGCACGTCCCGTCGAGCTGGGAGCGTGGGCACGGGCCGCTCTCGCCGCCGAGGGCCTCCTGGCTGCTCGCGATCTTCCGCGCGTGGTCTTCCTGAGGGTGCACATGGCGGAGGGGTGCCGGCCTGACGAGCGTACGCCCACCTCGCGGGGCCGGTACGGTCGAGACCTCCTGTGGGGAGTCGTGTAAGTGCGCTTCTTCGGGGGTCAGTGCCGTGCCTCCCTACCATTTGGAGAGGGCTCCGAGTCGGGAGTAGCTGGGCGTGAGAGGCGCTCTGGCATCGTTGTCGCTGGCGGTCTTCCTGGTGGTCCTCTCGGTGATGCCCCTGGCGGCGGCCGGCCTGGCCAGCGTACCGGCCCCTCTCCGTGAGGCCGGTGCGGCTGGGGGTTTATAGCGGAATTGCTGGGCGCGAGGGGCGGTTCGGCCTTTTCATCGTGCTGTTTCTCGCGCGTTTCCTGGCGATCCTCGCTGGCGGTGGCGGGTTCGCGCGGCGCGCGCGACGGCGCGCCGCGGGCGTCCCCGCGCCCATGGGGGCGTAGGAGGTCACCCCGACTCTCCGGACTCTCCCCGCTGCCTCCCCCTCCTTCCTCCTCCCCCCTCGGTCCTCCTGGCGTGGGGTCCGTGGGGGGAGGAGGATCGAGGGTCGAGGAGGATGAGGGCCGAGGTTCGAGGATGTCGAGTTCCATGGAAGGGGGGGATCGAGGAGGAAGACCGGGGAGGAGGTTCGAGGAGGAGGAGGAGGAGGAGGAGGAGGAGGAGGAGGAGGAGGAGGAGGAGGAGGAGGGGGAGGGGGAGGAGGGGGATATCGTGTTTGGGGGGCTTAGGGGTGCTCTGGGGAAAGCGGGCGGGGCGTATTGTTGAGGAGATGACGTTTCCTCCAGGAAGTGGCGGGCGGCTTTTTCGTGGTGGCCCCCCTGATCATAGCCTGAGAGGGAGGAAGGGGGGTCGGGGACCGAGGAGGGGGAGCGAGGAGGAGGAGGAGGAGAAGTGTCGAGGGCCGATGGCCGAGAAGGGGGAGGATCGAGGAGGGGGAGGATGGGAGTGAGATGAGCAGGGGGACGAGAGGGAGGAGCAGGCGGGCGAGGGGCAGCAGACGGACGAGGGGGATGAGGGGGTGGAGCAGGCGAAGCAGGAGGAGGAGGAGGAGGAGGAGGAGGAGGAGGAGGGCCGCGAGGGGTCGAGGGTCGAGGGTCGAGGAGGGTGGCGATCGAGGTCGGGCTGTGGTGAGGAGTATGATGTTCCTTGTCCGTAGAGGGAAGACGTCCAGGGGGTGAGAGGACGGTTGGGGTGGGGTCGCCCATCCGAGGGGATTTTTGTCAGGCCCGTGGTGAGGATCCATCCCCCACGGCGAGCTTTTGACAGGGCAACCCCACCCCCAGCACTTAGCCAACGCCATCGACGGCATCAGTCTGCCGAGTCCTTCAGGACGCGGCTTCGGCTCTGGCAAGCAAAATTCTAGACCCCAGGGCTTCAGCTTGCGACTACTCTTCAAACCCGAACGTTTTCATGAGGAAAAGGACGAGGACTAGGACGAGGCCGAGGGTCGATGAGGGGAGAGGATCTCTACTATAATTCGCATTGCGAATGCAACCGTACGGCGACTACTACGACTACTGTTATTAGTATTAACATGCATACTACTACTACTACTACTACTACTACTACTACTACTACTACTACTACTACTACTACTACTACTACTACTACTACTACTACTACTACTACTACTACTACTACTACTACTACTACTACTACTACTACTACTACTACTACTACTACTACTACTACTACTACTACTACTACTACTACTACTACTACTACTACTACTACGACTACTACTATACTACTACTACTACTACTACTACTACTACTACTACTACTACTACTACTACTACTACTACTACGTACTACTTACTACTACTACTACACTACTGAACTACTACTACTACTACTACTACTACTACTACTACTACTACTACTACTACTACTACTACTACTACTACTACTACTACTACTACTACTATACTACTACTACTACTACTACTACTACTACTACTACTACTACTACTACTACTACTACTACTATAACTACTACTACTACTACTACTACGACTACTATATACTACTACTACTACTACTACTACTACTACTACTACTACTACTACTACTACTACTACTACTACTGCTACTGCTACTGCTACTACTACGGCTACTACTACTACTACTACTACTACTACGACTAATACTACGACCACTACTACTACTACGACTAACACTGCTACTGTTACTACTACCACCGCTATTACTACTACCACTACTACTCCTGCTGCTGCTGCTACTAATACTACAGCGACGACGACTACGACTACTACAACAACAACAATTACTACTACTACTACGGCTACGGCGACTACTACGA